GGCTGGTTGGCGGAGGCATACAACTAGAAAACGCTAATTCCAGTGTGAGATATAAAAATAACACAAAAACACCTCAGATCTCTTCATCATCTTATTTCAGTCACAAACAATAACACTGTGCTTTACAGCCAACATCTGGTAAGGACTCAGGGTGAGACATACACATACACGCTGTCCCAGCGTTTTCAACGCTATCAGTTTTTTTATTTTATGTAGACGTAAATGTAATATACAATTCATATTAGTTCAATTGAATCATCTGCGTATTTGTGTATAATATGTATATATACTATACTGCTGTCACGTATTGTACTCGCACACTGAATGAGGAGGAAATGTAGAACAGCTGCTGAGGTGTCTCAGCTGATCAAACCCTCATCACAACATTTCCTTTTTCTTTCTCATTCAGCCTGAATTCAATCTTTCAGTATGAGGCCAGAGGTGTATTGTGTACTGACATGCGATCCTCTGTCCTGTGGTAAAACAGAGGATCAAAATCAATAAAACTCTCATTCAATACTGATAAATGTCCCCAAAGTCCACTGGAGCAGCATTTTCTCCCCCCTTCTCTCTCCCCACTCCCCTTTTCTCTCTGTCCCCCTCCCCTCCCTCTCTCTTCTGTTTCTTCTATAAGCCGACCTCTACTGTATCTACCCCTGGCATCACACTGCAGAGCACTGAGGAAAGCTCAAACTGCATCAGACAAGGTGAGAATGATTCATACACTATTATTCGCTGTATATGAGCTATGGTAAAAAATATCGAACTGAGCCATGCACAATGCTTTTCTTTTAGTCTGGATGAAATATTAGGTTTAACACTGGAGTCAGCACTAAAGCAAATATTTGAATGAAGGCGAGAGGAGCTTTGCATCGAGCAAACAACATAGAGCTGAACTGCTTTATGTATTTTATTGACATATTTAACACAAGTAGGCAAACAATCGGCGCGTGCACTCGACAAAAGGTGTGCACAGAAATGTGTCATTGTTGGCAGTTTACCAGTGAAGTTTGCAGTTCGTCTCTTTGCAGCGTGAAAACAGTGGGGACCTTAATAATGTAAAGACATGACAGCTAAATAAATAGGCCAGCTGTTTGGTTTTGCTGTATATTCATTATCTGATGTTAGTTTGCTCTGACTGTTTTATTCAATATCTCTTTTTTTTTGGCAGGAAACTTGGGAGAATGTTCTTCCTTGCCACAGTTGTACTTTTTGGTAAGATCATTTACGGTTTAGAAAATGTGAATAAAGGACTTTTTTTCCTGATTTATGTTTCTTGTTATTACATTATGAACGACATTCTCATCTGAGTTAGTTTTTTTTTAGTGGGTTTATCGAATATCGGATCCTCTCTCTGTGTTATACTACTCATAGGCTTTGCGTCAGCCCAGAAGGTGATTCAGTTGAACTACTGCTCAATAGGTGAGCACCTCCTCAGGATGGATTGCAAATACGCGGTACCTGCTGAGTCACCAGAACCGTTTTGCAAGTATACAAACGGTGAGAGACTCTTTGACACCACCGACCCGGACGAGGAGCAGCACGCCCCCTTCAAGAAGCGCGCCAGAGTCCGCATCTTCCCCGGCAACATCTGTCGACTGCTGTTCAGAAACTTGCCCAAAGGCAAGTCCAACTTCACCTGCAACATCAAACTTGCCGACTCAGCCACGGCGTCCAAAACCTCAGTGGTTGAGAAAAGTAAGCTGCTTGTGCTCGATGGTCATTGTTTACCACAGCTGTCCACATCCTGTGGTTTTTTGTTGTTGTTTTTTTTTACAAAAAGAAGTCATTTGAGTGACTGCCAAACAAAATACTTCCTCCTTCCTGAGCCTGCATTATTTCTTTTCTGATTGCAGAGCTCCTCCTCCCATGCTCAGGGTGGAGTGTCCTATTACAAAGCTGCAGTGGCCCACTGCTGACCTTGATGACACTTCCCATGCTGCTGGAATTTCACTGGCTGTGAACGGAGGCGCCAAACTGCTGCACACGTTAACGCTGAGCACCACACACGCTCCGGAAGTTGTGTGTAAGCACAAAGTGCAATGAGTTGAAATGAATACGATATATATTTGGTATGTCACAGGCCTGCTAACTCTGCATCATGCACTCAATACTAAGCACACGTACTGCTGCATACACTTTATACTCTACAGTACTCCCGCATATAAACAGTTATTGAAATGCATTAGAAATCTGTTGGATCCCTGTGGATTTCTGACAGACATGTTTAACAGAGCGATGAGTAAAAAGCATGAATGTGACTTAGTCTGTAATATTTGATATTTACATTGTCATTTTTGGGGATTTTATTCAATCTAATGAAAGATATTCAGTCTTAATAACAAGAAAGGGGGGAACTATCTATGCGGCAGCAAATAATGAGAGAGACTTTAAAGAGAACTGCTTAACCACCGAGCAATTACAATTTTCCCAGCTCAAAAGTGATGCGATGTTGCGCTCCGCCATGTGACGTTATTGCTGAGTATCGTCACTCTTTAAGGTAAGCAATCTATTTGGCCTGACTGAAATCTGTCCCCTGTGTCTTCTTCTTGGCTGCCAAAACGAGGAGGGCAGACAGAGGCGACCTTGTGCCACGCGGGCCCACAAGTGGAAGATTGCGTTGTGCTCGTCGATAAGACCTGGGCAGGGCAACAGAGATGGCCTTGGCAGGGTTTGATCTCATGACAAGCAGAGAAACAAAAAACTTTTAAACTGTTTTTCACTACTTATGAATGCATGAGCATTAAAGTCTACATTCTATTCTATTCTGAGGAGAGGATGTATAAAGTCCCTCCATCATTGCGACAAAGAAAAAACCAAAACACAAACTCAGTTTTTACTTTGCCTTTCACTTGTGCCTGAAACACATGATCCATGTTCAGCCGAGGCTTGTTGTCACACATATACAGTGAGTTTCTGAGCGCTATACGTTTAGTCAGATCCACATGGTTATATTTATACATGGACACTGAATATGCTTTGTATGGTGCAATGTTTTCTCTGATAATGTAAAGGATTTGTACTTGTATGTGTGTATCATAGTTGAATAGGTGGTGTGTAGCCAAAGCACAATCATTTAATTGCACTAAGAGGCACTGCTGTACTATGTACTGTATAATGACAATAAACTGAATTTAAAATGAATGGCATCAAAGAAGAATAATGCTCATTAAAAGGAACTAACCAACCAATTAAATGTGTTTGAGCTCCATCATGCATGTGTGCGTTATGCTGAAGCTGCTGGTGGTATCCTGTAGAGGGCAGCACTGAGTCGGATTGGATTGGACTTGAAAGTGTCAAAAAAGAAGTAAATGATTGCAGGAGTAACAGTCATGAGGAAAATTCAAAAAATATGCAAAGCAGAGTGTTGTGTCTGAGCAGGAAGTTTAGCCACCAACAGCAAGAAATCGAATTAACTGCACACACAGGCTGAAAGAATGCGTCTGTGTTTTTACAAAATCCTAAAAACAATTGACGTTCAAATGAGAGCTGCAATACCACAACCATCTTCAAAATGTACAATCTATGTGGGGATTTCTCTGTGCAGAGCAAACGTTTTGTCCATGTGTTCTGAAACTGTGAGTGTTAATGTGCTGCCAAAACATCCTGCACACTTTGAAACTTGGCTGCTGAGATTTGCTCCCATGAGCACTACAGTGAGCTTTAGACATTCGTGATTGGCTGATAAGGCCTCACAGTTTATCCCAAATATGTTGGCCGGGGTTGAGGGCTCTGTGCAGGCCAGCCAAGATCCTCAACAAACTCAGAGTTACTTTTCTGAGTAGATTTCCCTTTAAGGGCATTGTCATGTTAAGATTTCGCTGAACTGGAAATTAGGGGGGGGGGGGAAATGAAAAGCAGTCCCAGAATTTTTTTTAAAAAGCACGCAAAAGTATGTGTCTGTCCCATTTTGCCCACATGGTGTAATCTACACTTACAGAGTCAAAGGATGGAGAGTGACAATATTGTTTCTTGCTGAGGAGTGAACAGACCAACTGTGCAATTAACCCCCAACTAGTGTTTACATTGTACAGACAAATGAAGTAACTCCTTGCAGACTTGAGTCAGGATGCCTAATCATGTTCTTCCACTCTGCGTTAAGGAGAACTTGTGTCACACATACTGTAGCAATGCACTGCTGTTTAGATCTGAGGCATTCCAGACGACTGAATCATGCACCAGACATTTTTATGTCGGCTATACGTTTATAGAAATTAAATTTTAACACTTGAATATCACAAGTGATAATGTCTTTATATTAATGGTGTTATCAAATCAATTAAATCATTGCAATTTACATGCATGTAAAAGAAACATAATATGTTAATGTTGCAAATGTATATCTGCTGTATGTGGAACACTTTAAATTAAATATCAGTCACAATGCATCACATTTACCTCATTGAAGTTTATTCAACCTCGATATGAAATGTTGCATTTTGCATTTATCCACTGCTGTGCAACTATAATAGATTTTAACTTAATAACTTAAAATAGAGGTCCTATATCTCCAAATAAACATACACACTGAATGGTAATTTAACCTAATAATGGTTAGTTAATAACAATGATAGTCAAATAATAGTCTTACTGCCATTAATGTCACAGAATTTGTTGTCACTGATTAATAAACATTGTAAAATGCACAGCTCATAGCAATAGTTATGACATATTGACTTATTGTTTTTGGTTTCCAACAGTAGGCTATGACTGAGTTGATATGATCTTACTCATCACAGATTTATTTGGATTTTTTAAAAACATAATTTTAACCTCTTCTTGCAGCACACCAGTTTAACTTCTGCTGTGATATCTCAGTGTGCTACATTGCGTGGCGTGTGCACACGATAGAAAACGTGTTTTTCCGAGGCCAAAGACAAGAACTGAAGGAGATTTAACACACGAACATTTTCAATCTGTGTGTCACAGATGGTGGACGGTTCAAAGACCTGAACCCAACCAGTCCCGTGTCTGTGTAAATATGATCTGGCTAATAAACGACCGGATTGCCACAGTTTTCTCTCCATGTGAATGTGCTTTCTAGCTCTGGTCTAGTGTGCTCTCAAACCTGTCTTTCCACTCTGTCGTCACGAAGGCACCTGAGAGGATCCTGTTACCGGAAGTCACCGAGCTCGTTGTCACCAGGGGCGGACTCCTTCAGGTGAGCGCAGACAAGAAACGTCGACACGGTGAACTCATATTTGGGAACTACAGTCACTCGGTTTTTTGTTCGGCACAAGGAAGTCTTTTCGGGAATTTCTGTGCCCCTTTTTCCAGGAGTAAAGTTAAGAAGGGACGTCGTCGTGTAGCAGGAAAAAGAAAGCACCAAACTGGTCAACATGCTTGTCAGCTGGTTGGTTTCGGTGGCTTTGTTCTTCACCGCAGCGACAGGTGAGTTGATTCGGGGCGAAACATTTTTTTAAGTTTAAAGAAAGTCAACGATTAAAAGTAATTGTTGCACAGTCTAACTAAACGACAACAGCAGCAGCAGTAGTAGTGGATATGGTGTCCCTGAACGTTACACGAAATGTTGGGAGCGTTGTTGTTGTCTAATCATTCTCAAATTAATCTCGGGCCTGGTCCTGCAAACCAAATGGTGGCCTGTTGTCCTCGGCTCAGGATGACACGGTGAAGTTGACTTTAGTGAGCATGTAATGGGTTCTCTTTTGAAGCCTACAATTTGCAGGAGATTTCCTTTTTTTTTTTTTTTTTTACATTGTTTTGTATAATGCCTCTTTAATATAAAATGACCGCAATAGAGCAGAAACGGTAGGCCTGCTTCTGTCCTGAACTCACTAAAATGGGGAAGCTGTGAAAAGACGAGATGTAGTAGTTCCTCCTGTGTAGTCATATTGTAAGTTCATCATAACCTCAGGAAGAGTGCTCTACAAATGCATGCGCTTCCACATTCATGTCATTGATGGCCTTACACACATAGAGGTAGACAGGGCCACTGTTGGATCAATGATGAGCTCACTGAAGAGTGGATTTCCACTGCATTCTATTAAGAATCATATAGTACTGTCTGTCTGTGTGTGTGTGTGTGTGTGTGTGTGTGTTAGTGTCCCACTCACTTATTAGCGCAGTAGCTTCATACATTTGTGTCTCAGTTAAACTCATGCTCTCTCTGAATTTGTGAGATATTTTCTGTGTTCACATATCAAGCTGCCACTCATCACATGATCATGGTATTTGCATTATTTTCTTTGTGGGTGGATGGACCATTATTTCCAGTGAGTAGCCTCTAAATCAGGTCCTGGTTATTGATAACACTGTACTTTTTAAATATTACACACTAATTCTTTACAACATAACTATGTTGTAGCTATCTATCAACTTGCAGCATTGCATTCACCTTCCTGACTTGTAAGAGCGTTGCGGTTTTCATGAACATCATGAAATCTACAGTATAATAAGTTCACGTGTGCTAGCTCAAAACACGTTTTAATAACAAGCATTTTTGCACAAGTGACTGACATCATAGGGCTCTTTGACTAGTTAACAGGCCCAGTGTGTTTTGATTAAGTATTCCTTCCATCAGTGCATCTGCAGCACACATTCCACTGTATGAAATGGACCCGAAGGCTGTAAGATTGTTGCACTGAGCAGAAGAATTCACTTCCGTGCTTGTAATTGGGTTCCCCCCCCCCCCAACCCTGAAACTCGCAAAGTATGCAAACAAAGAAGTCCCGGAGTGCTCTGGTTTCATTTCACACTGGAAGCTTATCTCTGAACCAAAACTGACTGTGTGGCCTTCTCTCAGCTGGGACGGCCTGTGAGAAACGTCTGCAGGGTGTCAAGGACGCCTGAACGCCATTTAAGTAGCCACAATAAAACCAGTTATCAGAAAGTACGCATGATGTGGATACTCGTATTCATTTAAACTATTTTTAAATATGTTCCTTTTGTAGTAAATGTGTGTGACGTGTGCAATGAATGACTTTGCACACAGTAGATGATTAACTGGCTCCTGCTGCTCTTCCCTGTAGTTAAAGCTCGTCGGACAACAATGCAGTAGTAGTCAAAAGGTGTAACTCCCAACACTTAGAATAATGGCAGTGCGGTGTAAAGAGAAGTGTTGCAATAATGTATATATTATGTGACTGTAAGTATTAATAATGTAGTTCGTCGTGTCTCTGTTGTAGCACTACTGCCGTGACTGAAAATACCCAGTTTCAGGCTGACCGTTGACAGTTTCACCGGAAGTTTTCTGGCTCAGCGGACAGGAATGAGGCTATTTTATTTTCCTCCACGCCCTGACGGCTTGTGAGCACGCTCCGAGTGTTTGACAGGCGGGTGTGATCTTTACCGTGATGTTATGCGGTTGGCGTCTGAACTATTTCAGTTTTTCAGTTATTGGTAATGCAGTGCTGGGTCTTTTTACCCTAATGAACACCAATGCAGTTATATTGTGTCATGCTGCTGCTCACTATTTTAATATTCATTCACCTGCCCATTGTTTCCTAAAGTCCTAAAGAGTTTATAAAACGTCAGAAATGAATAAAAACAGTCGTTTTTTATTGGCAAATTGATTCATTCAAGCTGCTCATTTTATCCAACAAACTGTTCAAAACTAAGAGTTTAAATAGTTATTCATTCAGATATTCAGTTTACCATCATAGAAGATGAAGAAATCTAGTACATATTTACATTTTACAGGTGGAACCAGTAAATCTTTGGCATTTAAAAAACAACTGATTATTAAAACAGTTTCCTGTTAAGTAGTACTGGAAATATTCTTTCTCCTGTCAATCCTCTTTTGACACGAACCTCTTCAATGCAGTCGACGAGTGTACGCGACTCCACTTTTCCGAGCAGAGCTCAGATGTTATTCTCTCATGGGAACTGATGCTGCTCTCCATCCTAACTGCCTCAGTCCTCATGTCTGCTGCAGCTTCATGTGCTCGGGAATCTTACAACACAGCGCGCTTTTATCTTCCTCCTCAATCGGACATCAAAAACACCGGCTTCCAGCTGTTCTCGTGTCAATTCCACTTTAACATTCAGGATTTTCCTGCTTGCAGAATACACGTTTGTCTTTTAATTGCCTAGTCTAATTGCATGTTTTCTTGTACTGTGTGTGTGTGTGTGTGTGTGTGTGTGTGTGTGTGTGTGTCCAGGTGTAAGTGGCTTTACAGTCACCACCAGCAACGCAGATGTGCGGGTGAAAGAGAATGACGGTGAGTCCTGAAAATCAGAAATGATTTGAATGTAGAGAAGCCATTGTATGCCGTAATTACGTGTCCCAAAGTCATTAGCTCTGTTTGAAAGAGCGAAGCTGGGAAGGTTGGCTTTGTCTTGTCACTCAATAGGAGTCTATGGCCGTGCAGTAATCCTGCTCACGGCCTTTTATTCTCTCTGTGTGTTGCTTTAAAAGGAGAACAGAATTGAGAACAGGTAGTAGGGAGCTACAGCTACGGCGACTGCATAGGCTCTGCTGCTATATTGTAACTTGCCTGCAACATTCATATCATCTTTTTAAAGCCTGTGAAACACCAGAGTTAAACAACGTTAGCTAGTGCACCCACGGCATGCATGCATGTCTTTGTAACACCTTGTATAAACTGTGTAATTTTAAGATGCGTAAATTCCAATGTTTTGATGTTTTTTCCTATTGATTGGGTTTCCTGTGTTTGTGCTGCATACTGATGCAGAGACGTATCCACATAGCTGAGCAGTAGTGCTGTAGTGTCCTTCAGATATCTTCCCACTGGAGTAAAGAATGCTTGTGATTATGAGTGTTTAGTGAGAAGTTATTTTAAGAAACATGCAGTAAATGCACAAATATAAGATGGAAAAATAGTTTCAGAATTTTATTTTTTGTAACAATTCTTTTTAAAATTTTATTTCATGTTACACAATTGAAGTGAAAACCTTCACAGTATAGTCGTGTGTTCATTTTGGATGTGACGTTATTTCAGGGACTGACCTCTCATGCTCGCATTCAGCCGACTTCGGTTCAAACGCCAGAGTCGAGTGGAAGTTTAAGAACCTGAAAGGCTCACAGGTGTATGTGATTTTTAATGGGGCACCAACAAGTAAGTAGATGCACAATCTTGTTATTTGCCTCCTTCTGTAGCATGTTGATGAATGTCTTTGTTTTTTTCCACAAAGAACTTTTAGATTTGTATCCTGTTTGCCTGTCTCTCTGTTAGAATAATATTGAGAAAACTAATTTAAAAGATTGTAATGACCTTTGGTGTGAAGTTGGATAAAGACAGAACTTATCAGTGTTAGTAACACAGCACCAACAGCAGCGGCACCTTTTTATAATGCCTTTTAGTTTTTTTGCCCGTAACTCCTGAGGTGTAGAAGAAGAAGAAAAAAGTCTCTATCTCCTAGATTCCTTCCCTGTCCAACCCAGTATCCATGGAGGCACTGCCCATGCATACATATTTTGAATATTTTGAACGCTCCTCCACAGCGCCATATTCCAAACGGGTGACGATGTACGGTAGTAATCTGAGATTCTCCAAAGTGACCCGTGAGGACAACGGAGTGTACGACTGCGAGGTGTCCAGCAGCACCAGTACTAGCCAGTTTGGGGAGGTCAGGGTGAAGATGACTGTTCTGGGTAAGGATCCCAGACTCGTGGTCCTGCCATAAAATATACGTTTGTGTACTGTTATGGAGGTTTGTGTATTACTGCACATGTAGAGACCCGTTGAAAACTCAATGCCATGTCCCACAGTGCCTCCAGCTGTGCCCCTATCACGGGTCCCCACCTCGGTGACCACGGGCAGGACAACCAAGCTTACCTGCCACGACAGCGTCGGCTCGCCTCCGTCCCAATACAAGTGGTTCAAAGATGGCGTCCTCCTGCCCTCTGAACCCAGCAAGATTGCTGCCTTCAAAAATGCAACCTACAAGCTAAACACGGATACCGGCAACCTGGTCAGCTACAACCTATTACTTTGCACCATCTCTGCTGTGACAGTTACTGTCCCCTTGGTCTTTAAAATTAAATATAAATATATATACACAAACATAAAAAAACATATATTGGGACGGAGGCGAGCCGACGCTGTCGTGGCAGGTAAGCTTGGT